GTGCATTTTGGTAACAACAACACTTGAAATGAACAAGTCATGAATGTGCCCAACAATCCATTTGGTAGTGAAGAATGAATCAGTCCATGGATTTTCGATTGAGAGTGAGAGTCTATTTTGTTGTTTGTCCTTTTGAGTTTTAAGTCTTCAAGATTATGTTCTGTTGTTTTTGTCGTTTTGAGTCTTTAAGAATCTGTTTTTGTTGTTTTGTCATTTTGAGTCTAAGTCTTTGAGATCTGTTTTGTTATTTGTCGTTTGAGTCTAGAGATTTAAAGAATGGTTTATAACCATTTTTTATATTTTTCCTAAGGTGTTGGATTCTTCAGTCTATCATATCAATAATAAAGTCTTGTTTCATCTATCATATAAGCTTTATTCATATTATTATTTTTACTTGTCAAGATATTTTTTTTTCAACACATATCAAGATATCATTCACATAAAAAATGCAAAGAAACAATGCCTTCAAATTTTTGGTTCAGATAAAAAAAAAAGAGACTATTGTTGCTATCTTCGTACTTTTTCTCTCTCGAAGTTGCTTTGAGGAGGTCACTTTGTTGTGGTTATTGTGCTACGTTCTGTTTCATTTCTGCGTTTCATTTTGTTAGTGTTGTTGTCCGTGAAACTTGTTTTCGGTGTGTCTACAGGGTCTTGAAGTTTTTGTTTGTTTGGTACAACTACTATCTACAAGTTACTATGGAAAGTCGTGCAAGAGTTTTTGGATCAAAGTAACAGTTTTATTGGTGAGGATTCATGTTTCTTATTCATTGATTTCTTTCCTTTTTATTTTAGCGTTACATTCATAGTTTAGCTTGTCGGTTTGTGTTTTCCTTGTTTGGGCTATTACCTTCCGTATTTGGGATTTTGACTCCAAGTAAATCTTTTTAGTGTTACATTCATAGTTTAGTTTGTCGGTTTGTATTTTCCTTATTTGGACTATTACCTTCCTTATTTGGGATTTTGACTCCGAGTAAATCTTTTTCCAGTTCATAGTCTTAGTTCATATTTGTAACTCCAATTTTTGATATAATCCATCCAAATGACAAAAGAAAAAAGATAAAAAGATTTGGGACGAAAAAACCAGTAAAATAAGAATATATTAAAGTAAACTATGTTGAATTACTTAAAAATATCATTTATTATGTTTTGTATCTAATTGAAAAAAAAAATTGTAAGCTTTTTATTAGAAAATTAGAAATATGTTGAAGAATAATACTATAGTCTATAGAGAGTGAATTTCCAGCCATACATTTGTAACATTTTAAAAACATAAAATTACTAGGAGAATAGAATAAAATAAAATAAAATAATCCGGTGGATGAGAAAATGTAACGGTCATGTTTTATAT